AAAATTAAGGAAGGAAGGAAGAATGAGAAGAGGGAGGGAAGTGCGAACCCCAGACACACGCACTGGTATATCACAATTGTTATACGAGGCGGGTTGCTCGTAGAAACTTCAAGAAAGCCGTCGTCGCTTTTCGGCGTAAAGTTCAATTTTTCCGGCACTCCAAAATTGATTTTCCGGAAAGCGGCTGGTGGTAGAGGCGCGCAAACTTTGCTGACAGGGAATGCCTCTGGCAGCCGTACTGAGGGCATTTACACAAAAGATGTTGGATGTTTTCTTCGGCGCAATCACAATGGAAGCACTTAACGATAAGTATTCCCGCTTGAAAGGGAGTTTGTCAAAACAGGTCTTGATTTGATAACTAGACCTCTTAGCGACAGCGCCCTGTGGTTCTAACAACGCAGATGTTGAGGCCCCTGTTTTTTCATCGCTCAGTTTCTAGGAAAGTTAAAGGGTATGCTTTGTTGTTCAGATAGCACTGAAGTATTTTTTCCAATATTGAAACAATTCATGGCTGCACACTTTTAGAACGTTGCTCATTAGTGGGAGATATTTTGGCACACTTCGCGGTGATTTAATATTGCGGAGCAAATATTAACTCTCTAAATTTCGGGATGTTCTTTTTCGGAAGTGGAATTTTTCGTTGTATGACATAAAATAAAAAGAAAATTCACTGTGTGCTGGAACCTTTTCACACAACTGCCTCGACAGCTCTACTACCATATACAGCTAACTGCATTCAAGAGTGCGTTCCCCGTCCCATGGATGACCACGGGACGTCCATTGTTACCTGTGAGATGTCGGTAGCCTTTTGAATCCTCGAATGTTCCTCCTTGTCTGGGAAGAGATAAGTGGCCGCTTTATTAGAGAATTCTAGTTGAGCGCACGCACAAGTCTAGCCCTTACAACTCTCGAGACTGGCCAAAAAAGCGCATGCGCAGAAACTGAGAGGCGCGTGCACTTGTGGACGCAAGGGATGCGCGCGTTAAATCTCTGCGCTTAAACTGCGACGTCGGTCTTTCAGTACTTTACCGACAGTTTCTCGCTAGACCTCCACTTGATGAGATCAAAAATGACAAGACTGTCGTTACCAACAGCAGTATGGTGGTCCCGGCGGCGAAAAAGTCTGTGTGAATGGCAGCGTACACTCTCAGTCTGGTGCTGGATAACGAACGGCATATAGGCGGTGCGCTCCTGTGTACTGACTAAAATCCTGTCTATAGGGAGCCCAGCAATAAAAATACCCGTGACAGCCACGCGGCGCGGAAGTAACACCTCTGGCCGGTAAGAGCAGGCGCAAGAACGAGGAAAGAAGAAAAAAGGGGAGAGCCGCCGTTTCTGTCGCGCCAGCCTGGCACCAGGAGCCGGCATCAACATAGGCAGAACCGTTCAGCGACAAGTGCGAGTGCTGAAAAAAAAGAAAAAAAAAACGACCTCCCCGCCCCCCTTGTCGCCACCTCATCAGCTCGGCTTGGCGGTGGCATCACGTTTACCATCGCCTGCATACCGTGGAATTTGTGCGTCGCCGTTTCGTCCCGCTGTCTTGTGATAGTCGTTTTTCTACAAGATGGTGTGGGACGGAAACACTTTCCAGTGCCTTAAGGCACCTTTCATTCAAAATATCATACATCTTCCTGCATTTGGGCAAACACTAGGATGTGCAGTCCCAGTGTTACTCTTTCGATTTGAATAAAAGAGTACAAACCATTTATCAGTTGTCGAGGAATGCCATTGGGTCATGCACTAAATAAAAGAGTACTAGTGCATGCGTGACAGCTTACTGAAACACTGGCCTATGTATGTTGAAGCACGTCATCTACGAAACAGGTTGAACTGATTATTTTAGGAAAGCATGGCAAAAAGCAACAAGTGGAAGGCAGCGAGACAAAGAAAGATCAGAATTGAAAATTGATTGGATGATGTTTGATCAGTGGTTGCATGATTTGATGATGAGCATCAAGTACAGAAGTCAGCAGAAGAGCGTATGTCACCGACATTTGCTCACTCTTTTGATTATTAGGTACAGTTTTCATATTTCAGCATGGATTTGTAACAGTGAGCCACCGACCAAGGCAACCAGTGTACTGCTGTGGAGATAATGTACCCGCCATAAAAATCCCCATTTTCTAAAGAGCAACTGAATGCAGTAACAGTAAAGATTTTGAGGTTCGTTCTGCACCATTTCTTGACCCGAACTGCACGCAGGACGTTCACGAAAGAGATGTGCAGAAGCTTTATTTATTTGCAGGGATACGAACCCGTCCGTCGCTAATTTGTGTACTTCATGCTTGACCTTGGTCCGCGTTTTGGCATTCGCTATAACAGCAGTGTGATGCTCAATAAAGGTAAGAGCAGCCACTCCCCGTAAATAAGATCAGTTAAAGGCTGAAAATGAGTAAAAACCACTCTATATAGAGAAAAAATGCGCATAAATTCTAATTGCAGTAATAAGTAATCGTCGAAATGCTAAAAAAGCGCTGCTGCCCCAGCGTTCATCTTGCGGCAGTTCGCGCGTACGAAATGCAATTGTTAGAGTAGGCACGCTAAAATACCCATGCAACGTTTACGTGCGGAAAGCGTACTGTATTCAAACAGCTAAGAATATATTCTCAACTGTTTGCTGCTGTCACTGATACGCGTGTACCTCCCGACACAAATCAGCCTAATTTCTCACAGCATACGCACGTGCGAAAAACATACGCAGGTTTCGACAGCCGAACACATGTAGCCTCGTCCGTGAATTTCGGTGAGCGTAACACCCGCAGTTCACAGGGGAGCACTAAAACGACGCACAAACACACGTTAATCGTTCTTGCGGAACGGCGCACCATGAACCGAAGTCGGAGCCGAAAGCGTTAACCGTGGTTGTCTCGAATTCATCAAGTCGTACAATCTATTCACTGATCAAATGCATGCAAATGGCACAGAAACAGTTCAAGGTTCCGAAGACGGCTTGCAAAAACCTACTTGGTAGATATATACCTCCGCGAAAGACTCGCCGTCATGTGGTGGTGCTGTGGCGCAATAACGAAGAAAAAAAATGGTGCTGTGGCGCAATAATGAAGAAAAAAAATGGTGCTGTGGCGCAATGGGGAAGACATCTGCTTCACGTGCATGCGGTCCCGAGTTCGACTCCAGGGCTGTGTGTGCTTTGCATGTTAATCTCGCAAATGTAACTAATTGTGATTCTAATGGTTTTCTTATTATCTGTAGTCATATTATCCACCACATTATCGGCGATATACCGCTTCTAAGAAGCGTAAAATAATGTTTTTTTTTCAGCCACCACGTCAGGGCCGGGCCGCCTACGGAAATGTGACGCCTAACCGCAGACCTTATCTGGCCAGAAAAAAAAATTGACCTAAAATCCCGGCTAATCATTGTCCCGGCTATGCTGAAGGCAACTTCAAATCGGGCCGGTTTTTCTGGGACACGGTACGGAGCCGCGTAGAAGCTGCGACAATTTGACTTGATTTCCTGCCTGCAGGCGTGTAGTCTAGACTGGATTTGACTAAGAGTGTACCCTGTGAATCGGTCAACTGATGCATCGAATTGTGATCGATGTAAGCCGGAGCACAACGTTGGAAAACTGGACATCAGTTCGAAAGAAGCAGGAACCCGACGTTGACGTGAAGCACCGCGACGAAATTGCGGATTATGTACTTAAGAGTTGTGTGTGTGATCCCTTTCATCTGAGGGTGCAGCTACGTGTGTGTCTAACCAGCAGATGTCTGAATTATCGCCCGCAACAGCCTGAAGACGCCATCGCCAATGGCATAATATTCAATTCAGCGTTTAGCAATTCTTTTCCGCTTCTCTCGTTGTTTTTTTAAGACAATAGTCTTTCTTGGGGACCTTCGACGCCAAAATTCTGGTCTGTCTGTCTGTCTGTCTGTCTGTCTGTCTGTCTGTCTGTCTGTCTGTCTGTCTGTCTGTCTGTCTGTCTGTCTGTGTCTGTCTGTCTGTCTGTCTGTTTGTCTGTCTGTCTGTACATTTGTCTGCTTGTCCACTCTTAACGGCACCGGGTACCTGAAACGGCCGACCCCATCCGCAGCGCCCTCCATGTTGCTCAAGACTTAGCGTTCAATCAAATAAAAGCAATTATTGCGCATGTCTGGGACACAGTAACAACACCTATATATTCTGCATGGGTGCTTTTTACTAGAAAACGCATACATAAGTAATATTAAGGGTCATAGCGCTTATTACGCTGCGCAGACCATGCGACGCTTGCACGAGAAAGAGTGTTTCCAACGCTTTGCTAAGACGAGATGGTGGAGGCACCTAACCGTCGTCTTGCGTTTTACACCTTATCACCTCCGAGACGGGCGCGCACACCCGTCTCAGAACCACGTGCTTTGTTTTCCGAAAAAAACTGAGAGATGGCGCTCATGTCTCACGTGTGACGTGCTTGATGCGCTCGTTCGCCTCCGCTGCACGCTCGAGGCACTCTAACGCAGTGCCTCCTGAATACCACTCACCGATTTTCTTGCGCAGAACATCAAATAAATGTTGTATTTACTCTCTCCACAGGCAAGACTATCGTCTTTCGACGACATATGCAGATTACCATGCAGATACGGGCCAATTTTTTTGTCTTAATTTCATAGAAAACAATGAGCGTTAAATTTGCTGTAAGCGATAACACTTCTGTCGACCAGACCTGAACACCCCAAACCACTGCTTGTCCTGCTCAGAAAAGCTTGGCTTGTCTCACACCTGGACGCCTTGAGTTGTGTGTTGCATCGACCAATGCTGGTTATTACTGCTTATTGCTTCCCCGCTAGATAACGCGAAGCAACACTCAAAGGCAAGCCTGTTAACGCTCAGGTGCAGCGCTGATTTCGGGTGTTGCACATGCAGGCGGCAGCCTCAGACCTAGCATATACGCTGTGCGTAGCACGTTGCGTACTTGCAGCCTTGTGCAGACTGAGCTAGACTTCACTATTTTCATTGTATGCCACGCTCCTGTGTTCACCAAACAAGCAAAAGGAAACCCGCAGGTGAGCCCCGGTGCTGCGCGAGTTTGTGCAACGGATGGTTTCTGGTATCCGAGCACCTGCCACGTGCAACAGGAGGCCTGCCGCCGCCAGAAGGATATTCGACTCGCTGAGGGGCCCGAGTCGTGCGCCGGTGCCAAGAAAGGACCCAAGACATGCGCTCAGAGTGCCTTCGGCTGTTGCTCAGATGGAGTGACGCCTGCACTCGGCGTTCACCAAGCAGGATGCCCCAGTAAGTGTGCATACATGCATGGTTGCATGCACGCGGTGACCTATACTAATTAGGCGTCTAATCAGCGTCACTGTACTTTGGTTTGTCTTTGAGAAAAGGGACGTCGTAAAGAAAAAAGAAGTTGGCGGGAGTTAAGGTCTTGTAAACTGACCAAAAGGTATGTTTGGCACAGTTGTGCAATGAATGTGAATACAGGCGTTTTATTGAAGTTAGGCGTCGCTGAAACTTCGATTTGGAATCTCCGTATTTCTCTTTTACTGCTGAGGGCAGCCCCATGGTTTAATTGTCATGCAGCCAGCAATACTGGCAGGCTTAGCTTCTCTATTACGTTTTTATGGAGCTGCGATTAGCTCAGGTGTTTCAGCAGGCAACTCTTCCTTTGCATATCGTTTTGCTGCTGGCTGTGTAGCTGTTCGCAATGCCCAGAGACTTTCACACCCCAAACGCTCATTTGTTTCGCTGTGCTAGCTTGAGTGTGGACGCGTTAGAAAGAAACCAGCATTAATCACTTTGCATGTCTCGTGCATCAGTGAATAAACCGGGCCATTTGTGACACGTTAAATCTGATTCGTTTTTGCGAGACACGAAGTTTTCGCGAGAATACATGCAACTCGCACAATCGATTGTATACCTGAGAATACAAGTACCATAATGACTAATTTTCAGCGCACACTGGGACAAGTAGAAGGAACGACTCTTTTTGTCCGTGCATCAGTGTGCGCTAATAACAAGTTGTTATGCATTCATACCAAATAGTTCGTCTAGCAGTCTTACTACACATAGCAGTAAAGCTTCCTCTGAGGCTAGTTAGTGTTGTTTACCGGACCTCACATTTCTTTAGCGCAAACAGAAAATAAGAAAGAACTGACCGAAAACAGGAGAAAGTGTACAGGGCAGGCTCTTCTAAACCTGAACTGGCTGAATTTCGAAGCACCACAGAAAAGGCAAACCACCGAAAGCGTATGCACGCAGCCGTAGCATTCCTGATCATGCATCGATCTGAAAAAAAGTTCGCAGATCCCACGTACAGTGAGAATCGATGATATGCGAAGCACCAATAAGAAAGCTTGATAAATCACTTTAAAATCAGCACAACGTTACGAGGTGGAGGTAAATGATGCCGTACATAACTTTTGTGCCATGATTAACATGTTTGAATGTGTCGTTTACCTTGGTAATCTCTCACTTCTCGTGATACCAAATTTAGTATATGTAGAGCTAGCGAAACGGCCACGAGCAAGCTATTAGAGTGCTATGTTTTCATGTTCTTACATGACACGCTTGTTAGGATCATCATGTTTGCGCCAGTCATATATTTCGTCATCCATTGACGTCACGTAACACCAAATTTGGTATATGTGGAGCTAGCGAAACGGCCACGAGCGCATCATGGATCACCAAATATACTCCAAATGTAGCGTTGAAGCGCGTGCACGCTGGGCACAGCGACGCTACGTCGACAAAACACTGAGCGCTCTAAAGTCTGACGATAACCGCGACCGACGCGCCCAGCGTCTGTCGGTGCGGCCTAACGGCAACCAGCACGACATTCGGGCCAATGCGTTATCAAGGCAGCACTGCGTCTCCCCCTTTTCATGACGGAGAGATGTCGGACGTGCTGAATTGCGCATGCATCAAAGCAACGCAGCGCAACGCCCGCCTGCGAGTACATAGCAGGGCTAGCGCCTGGCGCGGCAACGCCGGTGTGACGTGACAAAATGAACGCCGGCGAGCACGCGCACCGCGTTACGTCGTAATGTATTGGCGCCTTGATTGTGGCATGTTGTCATGCTCTCGCATGACACTCTTCTCATGATTACCATGTTTGCACCAGTCGCATACCTTCATACCCATTGAAGTCACGTAATACCAAATTTGGCATATGTGAAGCTATCGAAACGGCTGCGAGCGCATCATGAGTGTGGCATGTAGTCTTAATGTTACATGATACGCATGTAGTGATTATCATGTTTGGATGTGTCATTTACCTATGTCTCCCGTTCGCGTCACGTAATACCAAGTTTGGTACATGTGAAGCTAGCGAAACGGCCGCGAACAGGTCATGAGCGTAGCATGTAGTGATGTTACACGACACGCACCTCATGATTGTCATGTTTACACCAGTCACATACCTTGATCATCCATTCACGTACCGTAATACCAAGTTTGGTGTATGGGACGCTAGTGAAACGGCCACGAACGCATCATGAGCGTGGCATGTAGTCATGTTGTTACATGACACGCATGTCATGATTTTCATGTAAGGGTCTGTCGCTTGTGTTCGCCATGCAATTGTCACACCATACAGGCTTTGGAACATGCCATGTGAACGAAACCACCGCAAGAGCTGCAGGACCAATAAATGTATTTCATGACATAATGTCATGATTTTCATGTCATAACTAGTCAAATATCTTCTTCATACAGTCATGTTTGGTATCGATACCATACCAAGTTTCGTACCGATACCATTGTCGAAACTGACAGGAGAGCTAAAAGTCGTAGGCGGCTAGATAGATAGATAGATAGATAGATAGATAGATAGATAGATAGATAGATAGATAGATAGATAGATAGATAGATAGATAGACAGACAGACAGACAGACAGACAGACAGACAGACAGACAGACAGACAGACAGACAGACAGACAGACAGACAGACAGACAGACAGATAGACAGATAGATAGACAGATAGATAGATAGATAGATAGATAGATAGATAGATAGATAGATAGATAGATAGATAGATTCGCTCAAAGTCGCTGACGTTCGCTAAAAATTTTTTTATTGGTTTATAAAGTACTGCAAGTGATAAAAATGGCCCAAGCAGGCCGGCGAGGTGGTACAATAATAATGATATAACCAATTATTAGATTTATAGGTGTAGAGAAAGAAGAAGAAACAAAGAAAACAATAACGACAGAAACTATAAAGCAGACAGGTGTACAATATATTCGCGGGTACATAACTCGCACCTAAAAGTAATTTTCTAGAGATTTTAGTACATTTTCAGATTCACAAAAATGGTTTGGCAGTTCGTTCTACTCTGTTATTGTGCGAGGGAAAAGGGAGTACTTGAAGTTGCTAGTGCGCGCAAAGGCAGCTGTGAATTTGTAAAAATGGTATCCTCTAGTAGGACGTGAAGATCATGGACTGAGGACTGGCGAAAGGTCTATGATAGTGCTGTTCTTAGATAGGTTAAAAAGAAATTTAAGTCTAGCTAGTTTCCTACGGAATTCTAAAGTTGATTGATATGTGGGGTTTAACGTCCCAAAACCTACATATGATTATGAGAGACGTCGTAGTGAAGGGCTCCGGAAATTTCGACCACCTGGAGTTCTTTAATGTGCACCCAAATCAGAGCACACGGGCCTACAACATTTCCGCCTCCATCGGAAATGCGGGCGCTGCTGGCGGGATTTGAACCCGTGACCTGCGGGTCAGCAGCCGAGTACATTAGCGACTAGACCATCGCGGCAGGGCTATTGTAAAGTTGGAATTTTGTTATTATTTATTAGTTCTGTCGGGGAGTCAGACTGGTGGAAGCGATTGTAAAGAAACCGAACAGCTAATCTTTAAACAACTAATCTTTAAATGCTTCGCATTTAAAACCTCGACTCGTTGCTGCACAATTGAATCAACGTTTCACTTTGTGTCCTTGCTCTTTATAATAAAAGCTTCCAGCAACTCCCTTCCCAAGGTATCACCACCTCTGCCCACGCTGTTGATCCCGTTTAGCCATGGTGCACACGTGCAGGCTGAGCGATTGACCGGTAAATGTGCATTACCTTTATTTTTCAACATAAACTCATACTCCTGCGCACGACGGTTAATGCACCTCCCAATTTCACCTATGCTGGTTTACCTACACGAGATTGTGTTGCCCTGGGCCAGGCAAAGATGCCTTGAAATAGTATCGTAATACGATGCAGAATACCGAGACAAAAAGTATTGGAGATACAGCCACGAAAATTATATCCAATACGATACTTGTCAATTTTATATTAAGATACTTCCACACATTCACAAATTCGTTTATATAAACCAACACAATCTAGTAGCGAACGCGTGTGCACAAAAACGAAGGATATAAAATTTCTAAAATATGCCCTATTTCACTCTACTGAAGTGTTTATTGACATGTCAAAAAGTTTTGTCAAAAGGTGAGTTAGCTTATTTCCGATGATCTTATTAGGGAGTGATTCAGCTGCTTAACAGGGCAGCGTTGTGGACACTTCACTGACAGTGGTTCTCGCTTGTCATTTCTGCAATATATTGGATTCGCTGCTGAACCTACCGGCATGCTAGCGGATTGTCATGTATTTCATTTCATTTCATTTTCTTATACCCCTCAGGGCCAGAGGCATTACAGAGGGGGAGTGGTAAAAGCACAAAAAGGTAACAAAATAAAAGGAACAAAATATGCAAGTACAATAGAGACGCACTATAAGTTAGAAAGAGCCTGAGTATACAATATTAGCTACAGAATTGCGAAAATGTTTACAGTTATTAATGTTTACAATGTCAGCGGGAAGGCCATTCCAATCGCGAGAGGTTCGTGGTAGAAATGATTGATAAAAGTACTCAGTATTACATGAAGCGAGTCCAACTTTGTGACGATGATCAGTGCGATGGGATACATAAGATGGTTGAGGGATGAGTCGATCGCGCAGATCAGGATGATGATACATTTTATGAAACAAGGCAATGCGTGACACTTTTCTGCGCAGTGATAATGATGGGAGGGAAAGGTCTGATTTCATAGAAGTTATGCTGGCGGTGCGACTGTAATTAGCGCGAATGAAACGTACAGAGTTGTTCTGAACCATCTCTAGAGCAGTAATTAAGTTGATATGGGTGGGATCCCACACCGATGTAGCATACTCTAATTTCGATCGGATTAGTGTTTTATAGAGCAGGAGTTTCAAGGAGGAAGGAACGTGATAAAAATTTCGACGAAGATAGCCTAACATGCGGTTAGCTTTGTTAATTAAGTGC